CTTTAACACCATTTTCTGCCGCTTTTTGATACCAATGAATGGCTTTTTCTAAATTCTTTTCTGTTCCTTCTCCATTTTTATAAAAAATAGCTAAATTAAACATTGCTTCTTTAACACTATTTTCTGCTGCTTTTTGATACCAATAAAAGGCTTTTCCTAAATTCTTTTCTGTTCCTTCTCCATTTTGATAACATTTTCCAAGCATATATATTGAATCAATTTGACCTTTTTCAGCTGCTTTTTTATATAATTCAAATGCTTTAATTTCATCTTTCTCTGTCCCAATTCCATGTTTATAAAAATCTGCTAAAAGAATAATATTTTGCTTTTTATTTTTAAAACTCAATAGATAATTAAATATTTTATTTTCATTTTCTTTTTTTAATACTATATGTTTTCTAATTAATTCACCTTTTTCTTTTAGAATAGAACAATCTTTGTAAAATGACAATAATTCATTAATGAAAATATTAATACTATTATCACTATAAATATCTTCAGTTAGCGCATATCCAATTAAGTTTAAATTGCATTCTTTCTCATCATTATCAATTTTTAAACTTTTATAATCTGAAGATAAAATAAAAATATGTACATCAACGATAATAGCCACTATTTCATTTATTTCATTACTTTCATTTGTATTTGAATTTGAATTATTTGATTCAACTATTTGAAAATCAATAGAGTCATTTGACCATTTGACTAATTTAATGTCTATAGGTTCGTAATTTGCTGTTAAACAATAATAATTTAAAAAAATTGTATAATCTTCAGATAATTGACAAGATTTAATTGAATAGCAAGAAATGTCGGGTTTTAGTGCAATACTTTCTTTAACATAATTAACCTTTATATCTCGATTCTTTGGACTAAATACTAATAATTCTGAAGGATTTCCAACAATCATCCATAAAATATAACATTTTGTAATATTAACGCTTGCATTATTTAAAGTTTTTATCGTTGCAGAAAATCCATTAAAGTCATATAAACCAAATGTAACAGAAAAATCTTCTATCCTTAAACCATGATCCGAAATAATTGATCCAAAAACTTCGTAATTTTCACTTTCCAATGATGGGTTTACGTTTATTCGTTTATAATGCTCAATGTTATTATTATCTAAATCTTCCAAATCAACAATCCCTGTCATTATAATTTTAACCTCATCTTGTTTATTTAATACAACATCTATTCTCCTCCGTTGTTCTACTTCAAGAATGTCATATAAAGAAATTACATTTTCAAATTCAATAATTTCTAAATTATCATCATCTTTAATCCAATTAGATAAATCATTTTTTTCAACGATATTTCCTTTTTTTGTTAAAAGATATGAAATATTTAAATTATCCAAATGCAATTTTAACGATTCAAATGTCGGTGATCCTAAATCAATTTTTTTAGGTGAATTTGATAAAATATTTTTAAGAGATTTTCCTATGAAAATAGTTAATGGGAACAAATGGCCATATTCATCAAATACACTTTGTAAAAATACAAATGGTCTCATGCTTTCAATCGCTTCTTCAATAGCTAGTTCAAATTCTTCCGAAGGTTCAATGTCAAGCGAACTTGACGAACTTAATGAAATTTTATATCGTTCGCGCCTCACTAGAAAATGTGTATAATTTCTATAATTTAAATTATCTTCTTTAATTAATCCTTTTATAAATGGAAAAGTACTTATATCCCTGGCGTTCTCAGTCGGAAATATATTATTAGATATTAAAATTTTTTCTAAATTAGTTGTCGGCTTTATCATATTCAAATGAGATATATCACATATTTTACTTAAATTTACTGAAGGAACATTAACGAAACTAACAGCAGTTTTCTTGCTAATTTCTAATCTAAGATATTTACTAATTATTATACCTTGAAGTAGATGAAACTCCTTAACCCATCTTGCCAGATTAACATATATAACACATATTGAATCACCAACCCAATCTTTTAAACTTAATTTTTCTTTGAAATTGGCAATTCCAGGTTGTTTTTCTTGAAAAGCATCTATTGATGATGATTTCCCAAGTCTTAATTCAGAAATGAGAATAAGATTAGTATATGAAATTATATCTAACATATTATCTTGATATAATTTATTCATCCAATTGATTAAATCTACCGGAGCAAGTAACTTTTTTCCGCCTGACGTTCTTAATTTTGGAAAAAAATTCAAAGAAGATAAATTATTAAATGGAATTTCTTTATTATATTTAACAGAATTATATACCCATGTTAAGAGAAATTTAAAAGAGTCAATTTGTTGTTTCGAAGTAATTGATTTAAAATCATCAATAAATAATGTACCGCCAACTAAAAGTTTTCTAGCGAAAAGATGGCCATACGTTTCATATAATGTTTCATCGCCATTCATAAAATTTGAAAAGGACTCTAATAAATTAGCATTATAGGTAATTTCAGCGACCGGAAAATTAATACATATATCTGATGGTTGTAAAGCTTCGTTAAGTTCATTATTATCATCAAAACTCAATAAATTTGTAAGAGAACCGTGATTGTTTACATAAGTATATATTAAAGGTTGTTCTCTGTATAAACTTATATTTAATATTCCATTTTCAGAAAGCACTGCTTGTTTGCTAGGTTCTATCCTATACCCGTCCAAGAATAGTCCATGATTCAACTTAAGTTGTTTAATCACCTGTTGTGTTTGCTGTGACGATATCATCGACTTTAAAATAATGGTAACTTCTTGAATTGTTGGCCTTTTGCCTGGATCGCTATCCCAACACTCTAAAAAAAGATATATATATATATATAGTATCATTCGATTAAGTATTATAAACCCACCACCATAAATTACTTACTTGCATAAAGGTTAGAATATTCTTTGGGGGTACCCTCTACTATACCTTCTCTTAATCCTTGGGAAATTTTTCTGGCTAAAGAGATGTTATATTCTTTGTCGGCGAAAGGTCTTTTTCCACTAGACAATTCCCACAACAATACTCCAGTGCTATAAACATCACTTTTTTTTAATTTTTCTGTCTGCTTATTCTCTCTATTTACGTCCTGTAAATTTCCTCCCGTAATATTAAATCCTTCTGGGGCATCATAAGGAACTGTGTCAAATGAAATTTGATCGGTACTTTTAATACGTTTACTCAACCCGAAATCCGCTAATTTAATTGAATTTTGTTGTATGGATATATTATTCGAATTCAGGTCTTCATGTATTGTTTCTTTTTCATGCAAATATTCTATTGCACTCGATAACTGAAAGGCTAATCTGTATTTATCTTGCCAATCTAACGAAGTAAACTCCTCCTTCAAGTAATTGCGAAGTGTACCTCCTTCTGCATACTCTAATACTAATAAATATTTTTTATCTACGCAAGAAAAAAAAAATTAGATTCTTTTCGGAACGTCGACAAGACTATTATAGAGGAGATTGTTGCATTTTATTTTCTTCCTTTGTTTAAAAAAAAAGAAAATTTTACCTGAAGTTTTAGTTATCCCATAAAATTTCATCATCATATCATTAAAATCAACTTCCCTACGTAATTTTATCTATAATAACAAAAATATCCTTAGTATTAATAAAATTCAAATAAACATTTTCATTTGTTAATCTTTTAAAGTTATATACCTCACGGATGATTTCTTTAACAGTAGCATGATCTAAATTAAATGATCTTAAAACTATACATTTTTCACTTTGTTTCCAATTTGCTTTATACATTTTACCAAATAATTCATTACCTATTTCTCTTATTTCACTAAATTCACTAAATTCATAATATTTTATATGTTCCTCCCTTATGCATTTTTCTATCCATTCTTCAGTGGACATGTTGAATTGAGTAGAAGAAATTTTTTGTTTCTAACGCAGAAAAATGCACGTGCTATATGAGGAATTGAGGATATTGTGACACTCATAAAAGCAAATGTATCGTTCTTATACGTGTACGACATACTATCTTATACGACCTATAAGAACATAGCACCTGATCGTACGAGAATGATACATTTGCCTCATAAAATGAATTAAAAATAGTAGCACGATGGCGTTCAGGTTACATAAAAAAATAGAATAAAGTAAGCATTTGGGTAAATTGTCCTACGATACTATAAAAATGAACTTCAACTTTAAAAATATTTTTTCGAATATTAAAAATGTTATTGTAATAGTAAAGTCTATAGATGACCCTCCATCACAACCACCCAAATTGGTGTGTTTATGTCTTTCAGATAATTTATTAACAATTCGAAAAGAACTCGAAAGGAATAGTTCCATTAATGATACATTATTATTTTCGAAAAAGTATCCCGAAATTAATGATAACTATGGATTTGCTGAAATAACATTTGAAAAAGAAGACGATTTCCTTTTAGATGATATTATAGACGAAGTTGGAAGTGAAAAGATTTTATATTTAAAAAAATGTTCAAAGCTTGATTGGAATTATTTTAATGAATTGCGTAAATTAGATTATGGACGTACAATTACTTCTAAAGGAATTAAGAGAGCCAATAAAAGGGCATTTCAAATGAAAAATTGTAAATTGACTGAATTAGGTGCTGAAGGATGTCAAAAAGGAGACGTTAAAATTAAGTCAAATGAAGAGCTAATGATGAGAACAAATTTATTTTTTAGTGGTGATATTAATGTACAAAATTTGGTAGAATTAGGAATATCAATTGAAAAATTAAAAAATGAAAAATTCAATATTGAAACCGATTCTTCTTATCGTTTTACAGAATATGGTAAAATATCTTTAGAATTTAGCAACTATTTAGATCCAACTCCAGAATTTATTAAAGTAGTAAAAGAAGCCATAAAATCTAAAAATATAGAGGATTTTAAGCAAATTACTGAGGAATTTGGTCAATTTATTCCAACCGAGGTTATTTTAGGTGGAAGAGCCTATTTTGATGTTTTCGGAATATCAACCGGATACTCTACAAAAAATTCTAATGTAAATGCTATGAATGCAAATACAGGAGGGGTGGAAGTCAGGGTGGCAAGTAGTTCCAATTATTCAAAAGGAAAGTCGAATTATTTTAAATTGCAGTGTACAAAATTAATTGGTGGAGAACAAAGCAGCCTCGAAAATTTTGATGAGAAAACTTGGGTTAAATCTCTAAAAGATTATAAAACTTGGGATTGCATAGAATTTCGAGGTCCAATTAGTATTTTTCAAATTTTACCTAAAGATTTACTTGAACAAATTATTAAATCTATCGGAAAAAGAATTCATTACGCAACTACTAAAGATTTCAATTACTATTTAGAAAGAATTGAAAGACCCAAAAAGTTTGAATTAGATATACCATCAAATATTTCGAAAATTATTCAAAACAAAGCTGCAGATTGTAATATTTTTGCAACTGTTATTGACACGGCAGAATCGAAGAACGATTTTTTTACTTGTCAAGTCCTTTGTCCACCAGACGGAAAACCAAGTCTAATAATTCACTGTATTCAAAAAAAATCCCGAAAACGCGAATGTAAATTAAAAATTAATTGGATGATTATTGGCTTTCATACAAATTTCAAGTTTATACTTTCAGATTTCAATACCCAATTAAATATTATAAAAAATGATTTTGATCTATTAAATAATCAAAATCTTATGATCAATACAAATTTATTGGATTATAAATATGATTCATTTATTGGAGATATTCCCTGTTTTGGTATTCCTGTATTAACTAAATTAGATTCATCAAATTCTTCTCTTGTAATTGGGCACCACTTTTTTAATGCTCAAGAAGAAAACAAAATTGGAGCATGCACATTTTCTTATTGTTTAAAAAGTAATCGTTATGTAAATTTACCAAACTTCATTTTTTATACACTAATTATTTCTGCATATTATCATATTCATAATGCATCTTACATAATGCCTTTTGATTATTCAATTAAAAATTTTAATAAACCAATTATTAATTTAACTAATAATAACACTTGTCTAAGCCCCAAGTTTATTAGCTTATATTCCACCAAAAAAACTAACTATGGGCCAATTTTTCTGAAACAAAAAAGCGGACAAATTAAAATTAAATCTATTGATTGTAACAATAGCAATTGTTTTATTTGTAAAAATAATATATTAATAACGACAGAAAATAACATTAAATGTGCCTTTTTTGATCCAGATCAGGTATTTATTTATTATTCTTTTTCTTTTTTTAATTATAATTTACTAATACTTAATTTTAATTAATTAATAATAAAGTTCACATCTCGTTGATTATTTCATATTACGAAATAACTTTTCAACAAAGCGATTACGCGATCTTTGGAAAAAAAAATTAATAGTTCTAAAAAATTAAGTAGATAGTATTCATGCTTTAGAAATATTTATTTATATTCAAAAAAAAAATATTTAAAATTATATGTATATTTATTATATATCAAAGTGTGTAAAAATTTCAGAAACTTATTATTAAATATTAATATTTTTTAATATTTTTATCATAAACATCAATACCTTTCAAGTTTCAATTTTATCATAATAATTTTATAAAAAAATTTTAACCTTTTTAGTTGTTTAATAAAATTAATAAAAAAAAAAAAATCTTTTTTTTTATAATATTGGTTCGTTTAAATAATTTAAATAAATAATAAATTATTTTAAAAATAAGCTTTCCATAACAATTAAGTATTTTATTATATATATGTAATAAAATATATTGAAAAAAGAGTGTTACCAGGGGTAAAATTCATAGGGTAAAGTTTACCTATTCATGTAATTTATATAATTTTTGTTTTGAAAAATAACTGATAATTTTGTTATTAAAAGTATTAAAAAAAAGTTTACTTAAACACTTTATACTTAAATACATGCTAAAAATACTATATTATAGTATAATAATTTAGATGTAGATAGTAACGAAGCTATGAGATGCGAGTACATTTCAACAATCTTACATACGGCTGTAAGTCTTCTCGATGGTTTGGTGATCACACTTCAGGCGAATATAATTGGCGAAGAAAACATTGGTCGTGTCGACTATGCAATCAAAAAAATTATCAGCGAAATGTTGGAAGAAATAATTTGCATAACCGAGGTAAACAAAATCAGGCGACTGTGAGTATCTATCAAAACTTACTACAATGTCGAAGTGCTTGTGATGTAAGTATAACAAATTCTGCTACCCCGCTCGCTACAGGCTGATTATGGGCTATTGCTAACTTACCTCGTTATTTCCCAGGCGGTATAAGTCCACATTTTATATTTTAGCATGTATTAACAAAAATTTTTCTTGGCAAATTGTATGATATATACGGGTGTTGCAAAATGCAGAAAAGACCAAATTGAATTTTATTATACTAAGAAATAATTGTCTATACAATTTATATTAACTATTTGCACTCCTATTAGTAGTTTTCTCCTAGTTAAGTGATAAAAAGAATATATACATTAAATTTATTTTCGTTGATCTGAACCTTTGAGTTTCGTTACTTATTTTGTCTGTAAGTTTTTCATCATATGAGTACGAGCATAAGGACAGGATAGCTCAAACCTGTAATTTGCATAATGTTAGATTAATCAAATAACAAAGTTATTAATATCGGAAAATATGGATCACAACGTCTTACCTCAAAAAATTCTTTTAATGTAATTTGAGGAGTGGTGAAAGCTTCATGTTTTTCATTTATCATCTTGAATTTTTCTTCTGCTCCTTCTACTCCTTTGTATTTTTCATTAAGAAAATTCCACTCTTTACATCAGATCTAGTTTAGCCTCAAACCCTGAGTTCATTTTTTCTCATTCATCATTGTGATTTCCTAAAAGTTATCATGTGAAACAGGATAGCACCTATACACTATACGTACATCTTTTATTCTCATAATATAAGCTAACATCGATGTTACCGAGATTAGTGCCGCAAAAAATTTAATGATATTAACACGGACTCTAAAGATATACAAATTTATTAATATGTTGATTAGCAAAGAAACGGTGCAGAACACTTTCTTACCATAAATTTTTTTGAAAGCGACCACAGTCCTTCGTCCTGCTGTTGTAAAGTTGAATTATTTTGTTGAGTTGTCATCGATAATTTACTATCCATACCCTTCAAAGCCCAGAATAAAGTGCTATTCACCATTATGAATTAGAATAATTTTCAAATGTCTACATTTTGATCCATAAATTACTAAACCATCACCATCAACTATGATAAAAGAAAGAAGTGCGCGATACGGTGAAGGGATTTGAACAAAAAAAAGAGAACCATTAAATCGTAAATGAGTGTAAATACTTCTTTTCAAGCGTTTATAAATTTTTTTCCTCGAGAGTAATAAATAATATTTTTCCACGATATTATTAGAGTGCAGGAGAGTCTTAAGTTTCTTCAATTTCTACTCTATAAACACTACCATAAGTAGTAAAAGCATCCATTATATAGTTGCAGTAGCGTTAGTTTGAAAATTACTAACTCTAAATTTTAATTCAGCAAAATTTACGAGGGAGAAATAACAAAAATTTTTTGAAAATATTTCAGAGAATTTCTTTTCAAATATTAAAATATTTTAATTTTTAGAGAAATTGCAGGATAAAAGGGTAGCGAGATTATGTGATGTTGTAAAAGGGGAAAAGGTAACGAGAAGGAGAAGGTATAAATAGGAGATGAGTAAATTTTAATGAATGAGTATAATTGTATCGTAATATAAGTGAATTTTTGAAATTGGGAGAAAAAATTTTTGTATTTTTATATTAAAATTTTTTGTCGGATCTCCGTAAAAAATCGTACTCTTGATTGGTTGTTTGTTATGACGAATACAGCAGCAACAGGAATATTTATGTTAAGATTTCACGTAGTCACGTTATGAACTCGTTAAAAAGAAACCGACGTAAAGAAGCGTTGACGAAGCCTGGATGAAATAATACGCAATTAATGTATGAATATTTCAGCTTGGCTATGCTGCTTACAAATTAATAACTATTTTTCTTTGTATAGATTTCTGAGGATTTTACTATCAAACAACATAAAATTTGGCGGTTAGTGTTATTAACTGATTTATTTTCCGACACTGCATATCTCGAGTATGTAATAAACTATTGACCGTTTTATTCTATCTATAACATCGATGAATAGGACAAATGAAAGATCATGAAGTTATCGTTGGGATAATATGTTATTTAGGTGAACCGCAAGTATTAAATGTAGAAACACCATTTCGCTTGTAAATTTATGTATCCCGGTTACAAGCAGAATCGTAATTTATTTACTGCATCAATAAAGAATTCAAGCCGAAAACATTGTATCAAGTATATTTTCGTGGGATATGAGACGTATTATGAATAAAAAAAGTGAGACTTAAAGTCCCACTTAGGTAAAATGCATTTTAAATAATTCGCGTTCTATATGAAAGGCGTTATCGAATATGTAATCTGAACTTGATTAATTGACGCGTTGTCGAGCTCCTGACTGAGAATGACGCTGAAAATGCCAGGGTTAAAGCTGAAAATGCTAAGTTAAGACAGGCTATGGAAAAGAATGAGGCCAGACTTGCAAAATTAGAGTAGAGTGATAAAGAAAAGGCTAAATTTACTGCAGAATTAAATGAGTAAGAAAAAGGTTAGTGATATGATAAGACGAGAAACAGGGAGAAGAAGCTTTTGCGTGAGTCAGCAATTCCATGCCGAGTTCAGGATGAGCATTCAATTCCTCAAAATACTTCAATTATTCTGCGGAAACCGAAATCAATACAATCATCAGGAGAAACGATACTAGAAGTATCGTCTCAGGTGCTACCCAAAGAAACAAAAGTTTCTCCCGATTATATAATAGTCCAAGACTTTGTACAAGATGTGTCTTCGGAGTTGATAGATGAAGATGATATCCAAATTATTGATGGAAATCAAGAGCTTACAACTGACATGACAATTTCTAGAAGTAAGTATTGAAGGGAAGAACACTACACAGGCGAAACAAAAAGAGATTTGATGTCGCTATTCATATCGAAAAGGCGTTCAAGAAATTATTGCTAAAGATAATGTTTCAGAAAGACAGGGTAGATAGAGTTAAGAATTTCAAATCTTACAGCGCGTATTCTATTTCAAAGTTTACTAAGCCTCAAATCCAATTATTCTGGATTATTTCAGTGGATCTGGCTATGCTGATACGGAGTTAAAAAAGCCTAACTCATAATCTGGATACAAAAATGTAGAAAATGTGAGACCTAAAGTCCCATTTGAGAAAAGTCATGAGTCTGTCCCGAAAAAATTACCATACGTGGTATCAGAGCTACCCGCCGAGGCGAGTACACCAACCCAAAAAGAACATGCCGGTCATCACATATGATGCTCGCGCTTCCTATATCAATGTGGCTTTGAAATAGGGTGGGGAAAAGTTCAAGTTCAGGACCCTAAGACTGAGTCCTTTAAATCCGTCTTAGTAGAACTTAGTCCCAAATTTTGAGATAGAACGGGTTTTTATTACAACATATAAAAATTAGGGGTTAATTTTTGACCACAAAGATGATCTTTCCATTAAATAAACCGCGTTTATTTCTATGGTCTTTAACATGTTTTATTTTCTTTTTTTCTATTAGAATTTCCTTCCTTTTTCTAAAAAACCAATAAATGATAATGTCAAATTACAGATAAAGAAAATGAAAAGCTTTTCAATGAACAAGACCAAGATATGAATATAATCCTATAAATGAGGAAGGTTGAAGTTAATGATAATTTTGAAGAAGGAAATGCATCTTATTTTAATAATAATACATCTCAGCATCCTGGGTGGTGTTAGACAAAAAATTAGATAGTTATAAATTCACAAGATGATTTTCCCAGTGTACCCTGAAAAAATGTCACGAAAAATCACGTTTTTTTTTACCGGCGGTGATCTTACCCAGTATCACCGACACTTTTTCCACCCCACGTGATTTTGTAATATTCATCACCGGCATCACACCCCACCGCGTTTTCACTGTTTATATTTATCTGAGGGACTTAGTTTTTTTTTTGCCTCGCAAAATTATTTTTTTCACATCCCTTTAAATGTCACCGGTCACGTGGGGTGGAATTTTAATTATAAAAGTGTCGGTGATACTGGGGTAAATCCGGCGGTACACCTCGTCATGCACTATCCGTCACATGTGCGCCACACTTAATTTCAGTTAAGTTGCGTAATGCCGGCCATTTCGTGACATTTTTTCAGGTTAAGCTGGTCCCGAATTATACAGAAAATGATTTAAAACACTAAATATTGTGAAACAATGTATTTGGCATTACTTTATGTCTTTTATAATGTTTAACTGCATATTCTGCTTGTTTTGCATCCAATTCTTTTTGATATGCATCTAGAGTTTATATCCGTTATCTGTTAAAAAATGGATATCCGCAGATATTTGAATATCCGGATTGGACGGATACAGAATTTGGGATATGCAGATAATCCGACGGATATC